ACTACTGTTTTAGTGTAACCAGTGTCCATAATAACATTATCAATTTTTATACCAGCGAACATGGACGTATAAAAAAAGTCGGACAGTCTCGATAACAAAAAACTGTGTCACTCATAGTCGGCCAGCTCGCTCTGTATGTACAGGTCTACACACATTAGTCGGCCATTACACTTGCAAAACATCAAGACAGCGAGATGCATTACGCCGCGAAAACATATACATAAATATACAAAAACCCTACTGACCGAAAGAAAAATAATCCAGGAATCACGTTTAATAGGTAAATGGATAATTTTATCACTTATTTCTAGATTTTATACATTAAAATTAAGCAGCATTCGCTAGAACGAAAGAATTCATTATGAGCCCAGTGTTGCCAATTTTCACGTGTGCAAATTACAAAACATAAGAAGTTTTTGGTTTGTTATTAAAATCAATTTATTAAGGTTATTAATTTAATAGTTACTACTAGGTATACTAATTTATATTCTTTTACTATTTTGGATTTAAATTGGATTTAAATAATTAGAAATTGTAATGGTGAAAGTAAAGACAACACAAATATATTCTCTCAAAAATTCTAAAAAAGTTTGTTGGCAATGAAAGCATTTTTCAAACTTAGAATCTGAAAATAATTTCGTCCTAACAGAACACAAAATTAGTCTTATTAGATATGTAGCACAAAAATATTTAACGTTTCGGTTTCACTACATCTCGAAATTAGAGGAAATTTCAAGAACCTTTCAAAGTAAAAAACATTATTATAAAAAAAATGACTCAGCATTTAGGACATTAAACAGTAAAATTTCTAACAAATAAAATAGTTTTATTTTTTGACTTTGGTTTTAGGGTTTTTGGGTAATTGGGTAACTTTGGGTAAATTTGGGTAACTTGGCAACCCCAAAATTCATTTACACACACAGAGATGCCGCCATTACGGTGCCTCAGTTTTGTTTTAGCGAAAGTTCCGTCCGACTTTTTTTATAAGTTCATGTCAGCAAATAATAAAAAGTGTTATTGTCGTATTATTCAGGGAATTAACGTGATGAATAGGTAATCTTGAATGGTATGACTGGCCTTGGTCACTTCGTCATTCACTAGTCCACTGCTGGACATAGGCCTCTCCTTAGAAAGGAGGTTTTGGCCTACCACGCTGGCCAGACGGGTTGGTATAGGGTTTGTTTCAAGTTTCCCTTCTCTTTGCAGTGCTGTTGTCCTGCGTAGTTTACTCCCTTAGACGGCTCTTACAACACCCACAGAATGAATGGGGGTGGTAACACTCTGTATTCTTAATCCGTCACCACACGGACCTTACGATTTTTATCATTGTTATTTAACTATTAATAGATTTTTATCCAGTGTTATTCTAAACTCACTATGTAGGTATCAGGGATGACAGGTTACTTGTACATCAGCGTACACAATACCTAACAAGCTTTAATTATGATATGTACTTGTTAGTCGGTTTATGGTTACGAGTACACGTTTATACGTAGCATAAGACATAAGTTATGATGATAAATCCTGTTTGCTTTGAGTAAACACACTGGAAAACTAGCTGACTAAGGATAGACTGTAGAGAGACATCTTATAATCAAAACTTTCAAACTTTACTGTCCCTCCGTTCATCAGCTCGCTGACTGTATCTCATAAATCAAAACAGGTAATTAATTTTTAGGTAGGTCATGTAGGTAGGTCAGGCAGGTAATAAAAAATTCGCAGTTGGCCGGTTGTTTAAGTTTGTTATTATGTTTTAAGTTTTTAATGACTGAATACAAATTAAGAATTTTATTCAAACAGTTATTTTACGTAAGTTTTTTTTTAGACAAAACATTTGACAAAGAAAAACTGGACTTGACGGTCAGTTGCTGTAATCACATTAAAACAAGTATATAGATAAAAAAATCGGCAGTAATGTAACGGTTAAGGCGTTTTTTAACGTGGCTTTAAGAACACCAGCAGCATGAATTGATGGGCCTGTTGGTCTAACCAGTGGCTAGTGCTCCTGACTGCTAAGCTGGAAATCACGGATTCGACCTACCCAGGGCAAATAATTGGGTGATGAGTACGTCCACTTTTTCTGTATATAGATGTAATATACATACATGTATTTATAGATATATAGGTATGTTTATTAGCAGTCTGGTTACCATAGCACAGGCTGTGCTTAGTTTGGTATCAGTCGGCTTTGTGTGAGATGTGTAAGGTTGCTGTTATCATTGCTGGCAGTGGACTAGTATAGGCCGTTGATAGTTATAATGAATGTGTACAAATGGTTACGTATTGTATAATCAAATAACAATAGACATTCTTTTTATTTCTTTAACAGCGTGTTTTAAAAATGTAATTTGAAAAAACTTAGGATCTGTTACGTTCTCAAGCAACTATCAAATGGAAAATAAATGACGGGCATGTAATGGTTACGCAACAAAGAACAAGGAAATGATTTCTCTGTGATTTATATTTGTGAAATTGTTGCAGTCCATGCGAAGAAATTACAGAGCCGCTTTGAATGAAGGTGATTTGTACTGACGCATTTTCTATACTTATTTATGTCACAACTCACACCTTAGGTATACTAGATAGGAAGTAGTTAGTAAAAAAAAACAGTCGGAATAACATAGCAAGACGCCGAATAACTTAGCAAGCACTTAAGATTCTTATTACAAATCGTAATACCAGTAATAATAAGTTGTATTACTTGAATTAAATTCTTCATATATTATATACAAAGGCACCACGCTCTATTCCCTTCCGAGGTACTCAGAGACAATAGAACTCCATTTTCCACTTTTTCTGACATACTGTATTCAGTAGTGCCTAGTTGCCTTTAGAACTGCGTTTATTTCTTTATGCTAGGATTCAGATACAGCATTGAACACAAAAGTTTGAAAGCTGGTAACATTATTTTTTTCGTCCGATTACCTATGATGTTAAATATTGTATCTTTAGCAGGGAACAATTAGAATTCAGCGTGGCAGCATCAAAATCGTTTTGTTTTTTCGTAATTTGCTCAGAAAGCTAACTGTTTTGATTTAATACTTTTTGCTGCAGGTATACAAGAAGTACCAAATCCTATTAAACAGTGTAGTAAGCTACATTTATTGTTTAATAGTACACCCGTGGTTCTGACACCAGCTTGACTGATGTACCTATTTTTATAAATTTTATTGTATGGCTGCAGGTACACAGATTTTCAGGAGACGTTCGTAAAAGTACACAGAAGGTACCAAATGATTGCTATAAAAGCCCAAACTGCGATCACTTATGATGTTCAATAATAGTATCTTTAACAGGTTAATTATAATTCAGCATGGCAATTCTAAGCAACCTTCGCGTATGTAAAGGCCGAGTCACTCACACGGCAACGTGTCAATATGAGACCAAGTGAACACCAAGTGAAATTTCGATCATTAACAGCATTGTATTAAGAATTACAATTGGCCATTTTGTTTTCCTTGTGAATTCTAACAAAGGATTTTTGAATTGTATATTTCGGCACCATTGTTAGCCGAAACTATTTACGCGTTTCAAGGACTATTAAAGTAATTATAAAAATGCAGATAATTTTAATTAACTTTATTTACAAAGCATTTAAAGAGTACCTTAATTTAATTTTAACCCATGATGGAAAGGAACCCCTCCTTTTGTTTTGAGTTAAATGTGTAAACGTGTATGTCTGTGTGTAATTTAAGGAAATTTGTTAACTCTTACGAAGCATAATCGTTGAATAGGTTTTCGAGGCTCCTTACCTCAGAAAACAAAGATCAAGAAAGAAAAGAAGATAAAGGATCTTCGATTGTTTTATATTTTTAAATAGAAGTCATACCACAAATGTATAAATTGATCCTATGATTTAAAAAGGGTCTAAAACTAACTCAAATAAAGCCACTACACTAAAGAAAAGTGCATATAATGAGCTCTGATGACCAATTTGTTTATTGTGACGGGGAGAAAGATCCTCAAGATGTCTTCCAACCATGGCGTTATTAGAACGGATAAAGGTGTTGTGCAGAAGCGACATTATTGACCGTCTCACTCAAGAAGGGTCCCACTTGCCATTATCATTAATCAGAGCGCCTGCATCTATTCGGACATCGAATTCCCAAACAGTTACTCGTCTGCAGGCTATCTTCTAAGATGGTTGAAAATCATATACGAATACTACAGGAGGCTCCGCTAATTCCTTTAAATGTTTATTTAAAACGAAAACACAAACAAAAGAACATTAATATTAATTATTGTTAATTTATTCTTTAACCATCATGTGTTGCTGCGTATGCAGAACGATATTTGTTCGAGTTCGTTTGTAAGACTGCTAATAAAGAACAAATAGATATTTGTTCGAGGATTACGTATACTATATATTCTTGAGAACTATAAGTTACGTCAATACTTCATTTAGAGCATGATAATGAGATCACTTCATCATCATCAGGGGAGCATGATCAGACTGCTTTTTCTGTTTCTTTTACCTTTCTAACTTGTTAACGGGCCTGGTAATCTAGTGGTTAGTAAGTTTATCTGCTGGACAATTAATTTTGTTAAAACTGTGATCATTTGTTCTGTGTCTGGAGTTATCAGTAATATTTATGTATTTAGAAGTTTATGACGATGTGTATCAGCAGTCTGGTTACCATAGTACAGGTTCTGCCTACGTTGGGATCAAATGACCGTGTGTATGGTGTGGCGAGATATTATATTAGTAGTCACGCAATTAACATCACATCACATCAACAGCCTTTAATAGTCCACTGCTGGATATAAGCCTCTCCTTAGAAAGGAGGTTTTGGCCTACTATATCACGCTGGCCAGACGGGTTTGTGTCAAGTTTTCCTTCTCTCTGCAGTGCTGTTGTTCTGCATAGTTTTCTCTCTTAGTCGGCTCTTACGACACCCACGGGATGAATAGAGATGGTGACACTTTGTATTCTTAATCGGTCACCACACGGACTATACACTAATTAACATACTTGATAAGTTTTTATGTTTGTTTTACAGTTTGTGGCATTGGCAACGTTGAGTTTATCGGTGACCGCCGCGCCTTCTGCGCAGCAGGGAATCTACCAGCAATATGCACCCGCGCATCAGCAGCAGCCCATTCCGTGAGTACAAACCTGCATATATGAGCTTTTATAAAAGTATTTTAACCATTTCCTGAAACCAAACTAATTTTTTTTACGATATTCGTGTATTAAATGGCGTGGTACAGTATTTGACTGCAACGGCAGAGATGACGAGTTCTATTCCAATACACTTTTGATATTTATTAATGTATATGCCTATTTGTACTTTCTGGGCTGTTCTAAGCATGTTCATATTTCTGTTCTAGAACTCATTGTCAAAGCTGTACTAAACTTTGTCTTTAGTCTAAACGTAAGTTTCCATAATACTTCTATACTATAGGTGGCAAATGAGCAAAAGGGGCAATGTTATCTACAACAACGGTCAATGTTATCCACCCCCCCCCCCACCCCACCCGCAGAATTAAGGGGGGTGTATTTACTGTCCCACACCACTCACTCGGTAAAAGAAAAAGAAAATTGCTTCATTTTGTTTAAACTCGTTGCAGGTATTCTCTTGATCCTAATCAGTAACCAGCTTTTCATGACAGAAGAAACTTTAGATATTGAAGCTCAAACATAATCATGTTATTCAGTCGAGATGTTTTGCATTTCAGACTGGAATATTACCTCCAGAATCCAGATGTAGTCAACTACAACTTCAGGTCAGCTCAACAAAAGCAAGGTAAATTCTCTATGTTGTCAAACTGTAAATATTTGTACGTACAAAAAGCTGAAGTAGCAAGAAAAAAAGTTTGAGGAAAATTAGTAACGACCAGTTACTAGAACTATGTAATTGAATACAAATTAGAGTATAGAAAAGAATTAATTCTACATTCAAAAGAAAATACCGTATTATGTGTCATTTTAAATTTCTACATGAAGACTTTCGTCTTTGTAATAATATAAAATTTATGCTACATTTGATTTTGTAATAAATATAATGCTTCATAGGAAATTACGGGCCATCAGTTAATAAAAACTGTTCATAATTTGCGTTTCGATAAGTTATACATATTCCCCACGTTCTCGTAACAATAAGATTAAAAATAAGCATAGGATATTCCTGATCGTTAATGGCTGTTTGCCCTTCCTTCTGTTCTTTTACAGTATTATAAATATTAACATGTCTCCTAAGATAGCGACATAATTATTTATTCACTTTATAAATTTAATTTTTATCACGGATACTTACAATAATTACTTTTATAGGATTACGTTCCGTAAACGTGATAAATATTGCAGTTCTAATCTCGTCAGGCGTCTTTAAAATTACTCTTAAAATTAGTGAGAAAAGATACTCGCGTATTTGTGAAGTTTTTTATTAAATTTCTTTATAATGTCCGTAGCTGGTGCCCAAGGAGAATCAGCTCGCTTAGAGTCTTTGGAGCCAGATAGTGAAGTGGAACTAGTGCCTGGAGTACAACAACCGCAGCAGCCACCACAACAGGTTAATATTTTAGATCTAAGATAACAACGTAACGCCTATTCATTTTAAGTTGTTAAGTATTATAAGCTGAGAGTTTCCTGACCGGTGTTAAAGAGAATATAAAAGGAGTACAAAACAAGTTACAATACAATACAATTTAATAAACTTGCGTTTTCGAGTTGTAACATTTCACTTCTATACAAAAGATCGCTGAAAACATTGCATATTAAGGTTGTTGTTTTTTTTTTTGTCATGGTATAAGAGGGCAAACGATCAGACGGGTCTACCGGTGCTAAGCAACTACAGCCGCCCATGAACACCTGCAACTAAAAAGTAACAAGTGCGTTGCTGCCCTTGGAGTTTCTGCCGCTCGAGTCAGCGGGAGGGGGGATTTGGGCTCCGGTAACCTCACTTACTCAGTGAAAGGCAACGAAAGAATTGCTGAACACCGGTTTTCTGTGAGGCCGTGGTATCACTCTGGTCGAGCCGGCCCATTCGTGCCGAAGTATGGCTCTCCTACGGTAGAGATAAATATAATAACAGACACCAACAATACGCTTTACAAACTTCAAACTACATATGAGCTTATCGAAAGACAACGATTATTTCCTTGCAAAGTGAAATAGCAACCAGCATTTTAACGAAATATAAGAAAATTGGGGTTGCTAATTAAAAAGTATAGTTCAAATAAAACATAGAATTATACGGTTTAAAGTTCAGATAACCATGGGAAGCTTGTTAAAATTTTGTTAAGCTGTTAGTTAAGTATTATTATCAACATAAGCGGAGTACTCATTAATTTTCTCATGTTTATTACAAATGTTAACATTTTTGCAACACAGGCTAATATAATATCTATTTAACGCCGAAAATATGTATTTACAGAACTTTGCGGTAAACAATAGACTATTATTTAATTAACAAATAAAATTAAGAAGTAATTACGTTTTGTATTTTTATAAAAGATGTAATTATTTTGTTTGCAGAATCCAGTCGCTCCAAATATACCCGGCTTATTGCCCGGGCAAAGAGTGTTTATAGTCCATATGCCAGTTCCCGGATACAGGTTAATATAAAAAAAACATACTTACAACTATAGATTCATCATCATCATCAACAGCCTTTACTAGCCTAGGCCTCTCCTTAGAAACCTCCTTTGGTTTTGGCCTACTACACCACGCTGGCCAGACTGGTAGGTATAGGGTTTGTGTCAAGTTTTCCTTCTCTCTGCAGTGCTGTTGTCCTGCTTAGTTTGCTCCCTTAGTCGCCTTTTACGACACCCACGGGATGAATAGGGGTGGTGACACTCTGTATTTTTAATCCGTCACCACACGCTATAGATTAGATCTCCTTTAACTATTCTGTGGATTAGTTACATAAGCCTTGTTAGAATTTAGTTTAACAGCTACCTGCAATAAAGATTTTGAAGGTTTTTATTTGTTCTATTGATTGGTTTCACTTTTCATCTCTGAATCATCGTCACATCTAAATTAACTTCTATAAATTTATCGTGACATGAAACGATTCTTACCTACTTTGTAGCTCTAAAGGTGGATTCGAATTTTAAATGTTTTAAACAATCATTCAGCTAATAGCTCTTCCCCATCTTTTCGTTTTTACCCTGTCATGTGACATTCTAAAAAAATAAGCTAAGCAGGCAGCCCAAGTATGGTCTAGCACTAGAGGTGTTAAATAGTGAATTTTTTGTGACTTTCAGCCCTGGAACCATAGGAGGCTACCAACCTGTATACATAGTAGCCGCAGCGCCACAAGGAAATGCAGCATATCCTGGAAATGGTACGAACCTACGTCAAATTTAAACATAAAAATTTTACAACTCTCTGACAAACTTCCAAAATTCAATGAGTATCAAGTTCTTTCCGTACTTGACCATACCCTCATCTTATCACAAATCAGCATTGTCTTATGTAGCTAACTAACGCCATCCATTTATAAAAACACGTATTCACCAATAACTCATTCCAGGATTCCAGAACGCATTTCTCCTAAACCCGTCTGGACAAGCCGTTGGATATACACCAAGAGGAGCGGTGCCGCCCCAACTTCTTAGAGGGTTTGCTCTTCAGAGGCCTTTTGACTTAGGATACCAAGATGCTGGATTACGTCAAGCGTGAGTACTTCATCTTCAAAAAACCCTAATATCTAGTCAGATTGTATATTTTGGGGATATTAGACCAAACCCAAGCGTTTAAGGATCGTGCTGCTACGGATTCTCTTGACCATTTAACCACTTGACTGTTGTATAGTTAACTTCAACCAACTTTAATGAAGTGGAACTATCCCAATTGAGTTCCATTATTTTTATGTTTACTCAGTCTTTTATGAAAAGTATATTTCTGAAACTGCACGGATGGCATAGTGGTTTAAGCGGTCACATCAACAAATTGTTGTTCTCAATCTGGGTGTACTTTGTGTCCGTTTCAGGTTTCTCTGTAGTCCCCCGTGATACAGGATATATTCCTAGTGAGGGAGTCGGTTTTTTTTAAATAGAAAAAAGAACCGATTGTTTTTCAAATTAAAGAAGAAATACCATTATTAAGAATGGAAAATTAAGGAATAAAGATAGCAATGAAGAAGATTATATATTTTATTTTAGAGTATATCTCACGTGTTTCTTTAAAAGTCATACCAGTAGAAAGTAAAGACTCTGCTGCAAATTATAATTATATTATGCAGAGTTCGGAGTAGCCAGTTTCTACAGTAGTAATTTTACGCTTTTATGATTAAATTCACATTCTATTAAAATAATTTTCAATTGTGTATAAAAATCGTTCCTCGTAAATTGATACTTTTTACTTTCACTATTTTATAGCGAGAATTTCTTCCAATCATTAAATTCATCGTAGATCATAAAAATAAATGAACACTTAACGAACTAACTGAAGTTGCAACAAACTTTCAGCTCAAATCAAAAACATTTTAGTTGCAATGACGTACTTTCTAGTTTCTTCAAAAAAACTTTGATTGTGAAAACAGCAATTTGAACCAAAGAGGTCTTCAAATCAAAAAAAAAATGGAACGACTCACTATTTTAAGGAAACGTCACTTAAAAACTTTTTTCTATAAATGATATCAGTAAATAGGATCGTGTTTTCTATGTTTTACGTCTCAGTTTCAATTCAGAATTTCTGACTTGTCTATCTAGATACACGTTATCTCAATGGATGACTTGAGGAGTGAAAGCTACGATTATCTATCAGGACAATACCTGCAACCAGAGTTATACTATTATTTAAATGTATACCTTGAATATTCTATTATAAAAGAATACTTAGATAATGATCTGTCATAACAAAATTCTTGAAACCACAATATAAAATATAAGATAAGAAATATAAAAATCAATTTAAAATAAAACCTTTTCTTTGACAGCAATGGTGGTGCTATTCAAGGTAATGCAGGAAGGGAATCTATTCGTTTCTCGAATCAAATAGGACTACAGCGATCGGTCAACCCCGCCGACTACCAAGGACCGGTTATGGTTATACAAAGCTCTGCACTAAATAAGCAAAGACAGGCTGGTAAGAGAATAAATAAGTTTACTTTGTGTACGTTTTGTAATTAATTACTACTTACAATGTAACAATTTATTTACGGGCCTGTACGTTCTAGTAATTACTGACTCCTAAGCCGGAGGTCATGGGCACAATCATTTATTCTGTATGTGGGTGTAATATATCTATAATATATATGTATGAAGAAATATTTAAGTACGAGTGTGTATCAGCAGTCTGGTAAACATAGTACAGGCTCTGCAGTTTGGGATCAGATGGCCGTGTGTAAAATGTGTAAAGTAATTTTCTTTACTTGTTTTTTATACATACTAGCTTCTGGCGAAATTCCCGCAGCTTCGCCCGCTTGAATTTCACCGCGGTCCTTTTTTACCCGGTTTATATAGCATATGCTTTTAAAAGGAATAAATTTTCCCCGTTTTTGCAACATTGCAACATGCAAACAAACAAACAAACTATTCAGCTTTATTATCGTTATATTTCAGTCAATTTACATAAAACCATCATGAATTATACACCTAAACCTTCCTCAGGAATCACACTATCTATTAGTGAAAACCTCCCTCAATGCAAGTTGTTACTGGTAATAAATTTTTGTCTTTTATCACCTACTTAATTGACTCTTGATTACTTGGGAACCCGTAACACAGGTATTCCTATTGCTATCTCGGGCACCAGTCTCTCACAAATGTAATATTATATTTAAGTTACAACTGCGATGAGAAAATAAATTATAAATTATTTTTATAATTTATTTACTGCCACGGTGGTACTGACTGCTGATCTGAGATCTCGGGTTCGATTCCCACATGTTTGTGTAAATATTTATTTTGGCGTAAGGGTGTTTCTATGTCTAAACAGCCTTTACTAGTCCACTGCTAGACATAGGCCTCTCCTTAGAGAGGAGGTTTTGGCCTACTACACCACGCTGGCCAGACAGGTTGGTAAAGGGTTTGTGTCAAGTTTTCCTTCTCTCTGCAGTGCTGTTGTCCTGCGTAGTTTGCTCCCTTCGTCGCCTTTTACGACACCCACGGGATGAATAGGGATGGTGACACTTTGTATTCTTAATCCGTCACCACACGTATAGTCCGATCCGATTAATTAAATCAATAATGTATTTTTCAGGTTCTCCTGAAGAACTGAACCAAGTAAACGAAGAACAAAAAGAAGCCTACGAACATAAGGCTAACTTCAGAGGCACAGCTGCACTTCAACGAAACAAAGCATAATTCTGATACACTATCTAAAAGTTTAAATATCGTAATTTAAGGAGCCCTGTACTGCCGAAAAATCCCAGTTTTATCATTAAAGTGATACTTTGTATATTCCGAATTATTTATTTATTTCAGAAAATATAAAAATTATTGTAAAATATTAAAAAAATATTCAATTATTTTGAGAAAAAACTTTCCAAGACCCACGAAATGAATTATAAATTGGTTAGACTCTATGTAAATATTTTACCAAATTATTAAATAAAAGATTTTAAAGAACTTCTTTTATTTATTGCAAAAAGAAATTGAAAGATGTTCATAGTTTTTGTTAATTTATATGCTATTAGCTGTACCCTGCCGTGCTCCGCTGTGACACATTCTGATTGCATTCATGAGCAATTTTACATTTGTTTTTTGTAAAAACAAGATGAAAACAATCTTTGAAGCGGTTTTTATTTCGTGTCAAAATTTGAGTTGAATCGGTTCAGTACTTTTTGAGTTATTAACTCAGTCACTCGCTGTAGTTATCGGCAAATATTTAAGCCACCTATCGTCCCTATAAATATTTCTATGATGCTATCACATGCACAACTTCTTCAGTATTTTTTCTACAAATAAAGTTTGTGCCTTTGAACCACTTGGGCCTTGGTCTCCGAAATTTCCAAATACCTGTAATATACTTAATAAAATATAGGTAGGTTAGGTTAACAGGAGTTACAAGTTACCTGATAAATGCCACCGACTGCCTGTTTATTTATTACTGTAGAAAGCGGAGTCCGGTCCTTCGATATCGCTCCATATCTTAGCAGTTACTGTTAGGTATTTGAGTACTTTCTAACGAACGCTTCAGAAAATAATATCGAGACTTTCAAGGGACTATGTAAAGTAAATGTATTCAATATGTTGATTACAAATATATGTGTACTTACCTTATATATGTACATACAATTATCTAAATATTCCGATACACAAATAGACAAGGAATAGGCAAAAGCATCTGTGTAGTGACGGACAAAGAAGGGATTTTGTCAAGGTTTCCATTCCCTTTGCAGTGCTGTTGTCCTGCGTAGTTTGCTAGTTGGGTCTTACGATACCCGTATTCCTAATCCATCACCACATGGACAATAAACATGCTAGTTTAAGATATACTTTACTATTTTACTACGAAAATATCACTTATTACAGTTACTAAATCGAGAGTTGACAGGAACTGAATTTTGACGGAACTTTTATTTCGGGAATTGGTCTTCTAAGCTCATCTTATCATCAAAGCACTTCTTAACCAATGATGACACTCAAAGACAACATGCCAAATTAACCCCATTATCTAATCCGTTTTTTTCCATTACATTATATGAACTGGAAAGTTTAAAAGTTTTATAATAATATAATTTTTATTACACCAATTCTATTTTTATACAGAAAACTGGCCTAGCTACTTATAAAGTCAATATGTAAAATTTGTGTTTCTCTCTAAAATCATAATAAAATATTCATATAATCAATACGAAGGGAATTAGAAGCAAAATTTCCAAACTGAAAACAATTACCAATTGTCAAAAATTACCTTTACTTTCAAATAAAAACCAATGTGTTAATAATTATTAATATTTAATCGTCTGCGGTATTTCCGGACCGATACTCGATTAATCTCGGATCGTTTGTCCGCAGCAGACGTGTGCATAGTACTCTCATGTCTTTTCTGTTATCTACAATAAACAGTGTTCAGTTAATAATAAACTTAAGTGCAGTGAGCATAGTGTCTAGTGTCTTTAAGCATAATATATCTAAACCGGCTAGCTAATCGTCAGATTCGCACGGCGATTAACAATGAGCGTCACAAGGTCTCCTACAAAAGCGGCCGGCGCACCAAGTCTTACTAGTTCTCAACCAGACTTATCAAAGTGTGAGCTACCCGTAATCGATAACTTTGTATTTACTCGAAAACGTAAACAACCTGATGCCGACGTTGAGGTCAAGGAAGCAATAGCCGAACTACGTAAGGACATGATGAGTTTCCTGTATGAATTCAAAAGTTCACAAAAAGCTGAATTTCAGCAGGTGAGGTCGGATGTAACGGATGTCAAAAACCAATTGGAATCGATAAAGGTTGCAAATAATGATATTATTAGAGATCATAATCAGTTTCGAAAAGACCTGTCATCTCTGACCGATTCCCTGGACTTCCAGAGTAAAGAACAAGATGATTTGAAGTTCCGTATGAATATAATTACTACGAAAACCGACAAAATAACTAGTTTGGAGTCTGAGCTCACTATCGTTAAGCGACAATTAACTACCCTCCAAATGGAACAGAATATTCGGGAACAGCGCGAGCGCGTAAATAATTTGGAAATTACAGGAATCCCAGAAAAAAATAACGAAAACTTGACTCAATATTTACAAACTATTGCTACATCACTCAAGACACAGATACCAGACGATGAAATTGTTCATATTCACCGAGTTCCAACGCGTGTTACAGGCAGAGTCAAAAGTATTATTGTGAAATTCAAATCTCTTATCACAAAAGATAGCCTAATCTCGGCGATGCGCAAAAAGAAATCATTAACAACTAGTGAAATTTGTTTCGACGGCGAAGAATCGGCTATTTATATAAATGAACATTTAACATCATTTTATAAGGACCTGCTTAGAAAAACAAAAGAAGCCAAGCGTGCCGCTAATTACGAATATGTATGGATACGAAATTGCAAAATACATGTACGAAAAAATAACACGTCACCGTCATTCACTATCAACAACCATGACGACCTAGCGAAAATTAAGTGACTACTATTATCAATTTGTGTCCTGGTTTCTCACTATTATAAGTTGAACTGCATATCAACATCATGTGATTTCTGCTCAATTTTTCATTATACAGTCAACACATTCACATACCACACATTACACCTCCACAATAAAGATATTTACATTACTTACTATTACATTATACTACATAAAGTTATATATCAATACGTAATCATGCATTTCTTCGAATACAGTATAACCGCATATCGTCACCAAGTGTTTTCTAATGATTCATACACCATACCCACTCGATATCTATATGTGCGCTTGAATACTTTTTACCTAATATTAATTCTCATGACCACAAACACATTCGCAGCCCGCTCGGCCGTAAACACTTACCTGCAATATTATGTTGTTGTAACTACCTCAGTCCGTAGCCCACATTATCACTTAATAATACTTAAGACTTTAAATTTAACCACTGCAATAATGATTTTTTTTTCTATTAACTTTTATTGTACCTATTTATGCTTTCATATACTTAGTTGTATAGACATGGCATTCATATTTAATGTTATTATGAATAGTGATAAAAGTCCGTATTTGGTATTGTGTTTATGTACCTATGTAATATATGTATGTGTGTATAATATGTATGTATTTGAGTGTATCTATGTATATATATTTAATATTTTAACCGAATGTAATAGGATATTTAATAACTAATTAAAAAAAAAATGGCAACAAATAATAAAATATATTATCAGAACGTACGCGGCTTACGGACCAAGTGCCTAGACCTTTATAATAACATTTTGAGTAATGACTATGATATAATAATGTTAACGGAAACTTGGCTACAAGATGATATTTTGGACAGCGAGTTTTGTGATGGTAGGTATGAGGTCTACCGATCGGATCGGGATTTGACTGCAACTAATAAAAAATCCGGCGGCGGCCTGCTAATTCTTATCAAGCGTGAAGTAGATGCTTATTTATGTAATGAATGGCCGGCTTCTAACGTCGAATCTATTTGTATAACTATACCAGCGCGCTCGCTGGGTTCGTTGGTTGACTTGCACATAATTTTAACTTATATTCCGCCAGACTTGGACTTACCTAATCGCGTGTTATGTTTTCAAAGTAATGTATCACAATTAATGGCTAAGTATCCATGTGACAATTATTTGGTAATTGGTGATTTTAACCTACCTTTTGTTAGGTGGTGTAATAACAATTATTATTATGATCGGAGTAGTTCTTCTCAAACACTTGATGCTGCCACCTCATTAATGAATGAGTTTAGCTTTTATGGATTAGTACAATACAATTGTTTAACTAATAAATGGGGGAACACGTTAGATTTAAGTTTTTGCAACTTGCCTTTATCAATTAGCGAATGCTTGCAGCCTATTGTCAGGGTTGATGACGCCCACCCACCTTTTTACGTTAAATTGTTGGATCTTCAACTTGTACCTCTCAAAGAACGGCATGACCCGCGTTTTAATTTTTATAAATGTGACTACATAAAAATAAATGAATATCTTACAAATATCGACTGGCTAAAAAAACTTGATGTCGGTACAATTGATGAAGCTGTCGATATTTTTTATTCAACATTAAGTGATTGCTTTACGTTGTATGTCCCAATTTATAACCCAAAATCCAAATGCTATTATCCTATATGGTACAGCACAGCATTAATAAGAATAATTAAGGAAAAACACAAAATGCATCAAAAATGGATAAAAAGGGGCAACGCGATTATGATGAATTCCGTCTCTTGCGTTCTAGGGTACAACTTGTGCAAAAAACTTGCTTTAACCAATTTATAATAAATAGCCAAAACATAATCCGGCGTAACCCAAAATACTTTTGGACCTATGTAAAATCTAAAAAGGGTTGCTCTAGCTATCCTAAGAAGTTCAAACTAAACAATATAGAATACACTGAGGGGCACTTAATTAGTTCTGCGTTCAATAAATTTTTTGAGAGTGTCTTTATAAGTCCAAGGAACGTTACTAATAATACCCCAGATTTATCTACTATTAAATACCAAAACCAAGATATATTATCACATATAGAAGTAAATGAAGATTTAGTATATAAATTGTTATCCTCATTAGATAAAAACAAAGGCGCAGGCTCCGATGGTGTTCCACCGATTTTCTTATCTTCATGTGCAAAATCCTTAGCTTTGCCACTATCTTACCTTTTTCGTAGATCCCTGAAAGAGTGTATTTTTCCATCAATATGGAAAAACGCTCAAATTATCCCCATACATAAAAAGGGGTCACGCTCATCTATTGAAAATTACCGACCAATCTCTATATTAAATACGATTAGTAAGATTTTTGAAAAACTTATTTATAAACAAATTTATCCAATACTATCACAAGGCATACCCCACTACCAGCACGGATTTCTTAAAGGACGCTCCACTGTTACCAACTTAGCATTGTTTTCCGACTACGTATTAACTCACATGGATGGGGGTGGTCAGGTGGACGTCATCTACACTGATTTTGAAAAGGCTTTTGATCGCGTAGATCATGACATATTGCTTCGAAAATTACAGGAACTAGGTATACATGGGGACTTATTACGGTGGGTCCGATCATATCTACTGAATCGCTCGCAGGCTGTCGTGATGAGTGGTTATAGGTCAGATTATATCTCAATCCCTTCTGGTGTGCCTCAGGGCTCGCATCTTGGCCCCCTCTTTTATAATGCATATATTTATGACATCTCTGACTGTTTTAAATTCGCCAAACACATAATGTACGCGGACGATAAAAAAATCTATGCACCCATACACAAGGTTGATGACTGCGTAAGACTCCAGCAGGATTTAAATTCACTTCAAGAATATTATTCACGTAACAGAATCTCTATTAGTATTAGAAAATGTCAAACTGTCAGTTTTACTCGCAAAAGGCAACCAATTAACTTTCCATACAATTTTAACAACATTGTAATAGAGAGGGTCAACCTGGTGCGCGATCTTGGGGTATTCTTCGATTCAAAGATGCTTTTATCTTACCATGTGGAAAAGGTAGTACAAAGGGCTTACCGTAACTTAGGGTTTGTATTAAGAACATGCAAACCATTTCAGTGCTCACTAAGTCTTAAAGTTGTTTACTTTGCATATGTACGTAGCATAATAGAATATGCGTGTCCCATATGGAATCCTTGTTATAGTATTTATACTAATCGTATAGAATCAATACAAAAAAAATTCATTATGCATCTTAACTTCAAAACTCAGCAACGCTACTCCTCTTACGTGGACAATTGTCGCGGACATAAGATTTTGACGTTGGAAGAGCGCCGGCGAATGCTAGATGTATGTTTTCTGTATGATATTGTACGAAATCGACTTGATTGTCCTGCATTGCTAGCAAATATCTACTTTAGTGTACCTCGAACACGAACAAGACATACCAGGCTCTTGGTTGCGCCCTTACGTTCTACAAATTATGCCAAGAACTCTGTTCTCTCCAGAATTATAATAACCTATAATACCGAATTTAAAGACATAGATTTATTCTCGAACAGTAAAAGTAGGTTTAAGACGCTTATAACGAACACGCTAGCGGGCACTCAAGCTAAAGTGTGATTGGGTTAAATGTGGATCTCGTTGGGTGGGATGTTGTTTCGCTTTTTTGGTTATTCTGAGGGCTATGTAATGCTATGTAGTATATTGTAGCGCACATACACACACACACATATGTACACGCACAACACACACACACACACACACGCATACACGCACAACACACACACATACACGCACCACACACACACATACACGCACCACACACACACACTCTGTTCAGCATACTGCTTGCCTAGAATATTGTCTCACTGTTCCTTTAGTTGTAATTTAATTTATTAGTTTTAATATTTTATGTTTTGGCTTCAACTTTTATTTTTTTACATTTTTGCTGTGACAAAGTCTGGGCGATTTTTATTAAAATCAAAATTGCATACGTGGTTAACATTAATTGGTTTCACCTGATTGTAGAAATTTAAATTGTAATATTTATTTTTAAGGACTGTTGTTAACCCTAATAAATAAATAAATAAATAAATAAATACGACCTTCAAACCTTCAAGAAAAGAGCGTACTCCTTCCTAAAAGGCCGGCAACGCGTTTGTGACTCCTTAGTCGCAGACGTTTATGGGCGGTGATGGTCACTTTCCATCAGGTGACCCGTCTGCTCGTCTGCTCCCTCTAACATAAAAGAAATATATACCTACACTATTATTAATTTTGTTCGAGAAATATTTCTTCGAACTTAATGTAACTCATTATCATACGCAAATTAAAACGGCAGACTCACTTTTTAAGATTAAATTTTTGTTCTTAATATAGTAAAGAATTAATTAATTTCTAATTACATATCCCCGGATCTTAGTATCTGTTTTGCAGCGTCAAGGCATTTACTCCACTAAATTCTTTCAGTTTTACTTGCCTATGGCCGTGTGTGAGATGTGTAAGGTTGTTATTATTATTATACTTTTTAACAGAAATTGAATTCCTGTCTTTAAAAAAAAAACAAAAATCAATAAATAACCACACGTCCATTTATTACTCTTTTTATATATTCAGTATTAAGGTGTATGGTTTATTAGCTGGCCAGTTGTCAACCGACAGAAATAAAGGAATGTAATTTATACTCAAGTGTTACCTACTCAAGTATACATGGATAGAGTATCTTTAATGATAAAAACTTTACAAATACTGTACGTTACAAATACTGACTGCACGAATGGCGTAGTGGTTTAAGCGGTCGCCACGCCGCTTCCTACTACGCCGAATGTTGTGGGTTCAAACCCCACATGGGACGACACTTTGTGTGATCCACAAATTGTTGTTCCAAGTCTGGGTGTTATTTGTGTCCGTTTCATGTATGTTTGTAAAGTCCCCCGCGACACAGGATATTTTCCTAATGCGGAAGTTGGCTTTAAAAAAAAAAAAAAACAAAAAAAAAAAAAAACTGTTACAATTAGCAGTAATACGAAATGAACTATATTTGCATGAAGACGCTAGCGACTGTAACGTAGTTCATTAATATAACTCTACACAATACACAATACTACACCTAGGCTAGAACAACAATTTGTGAAATACACAAAGTGTTGTCCCATGTTCGGATCGAATCCACAACACTCAGCGCAGTAGGAAGCGGTGAGGTGACCGCTTAAACCACTACTGCATGCTTGCAGTCTATGTGTCAAAAACTAGTCAGAAACTAAAAACGTCTAATACTTCTACAGGTCCGTGTGATGACGGATTAAGAATACAGAGTGTCACCACCCCTATTCATCCCGTGGGTGTCGTAAAAGAAGACTAAGGGAGAAAACTACGCAGAACAACAGCACTGCTGAGAGAGGGAAAACTTGACAAAAACCCTATACCAACCCGTCTGGCCAGCGTGGTATAGTAGGTCAAAACTTCTTTTCTAAGGAGAGGCTTATGTCCAGCAGTGGACTGTTAAAGGCTGTTGATGTGATGTGATGATGTGACTTCTACAGTCGTCTGCCATTCTAGATCTTTGTTATGAAACCTGTCATTACATCAACCGTGGGAGACCCATGCTTTGGCACAAATGAGCCGGGTTATAATAAATCGACCTCAAAGAAAACCGGTGCTAGGCAATTATTTTCTTACTTTGAACCAACTCCAATCACTTGGTTAAAGTGAGTTAGGAGCCCAAAAACCTCGTTCCTCTATTTTCTTCCTCCGTTGTATTGTAGGCACTTACCATCATATGATCCATTTTCTCGTATGCCTCCTGTACCATTGAAAAATACATTAGAAATTTATTAAAATCTGAGTTTAATCTTTCAAGCCGCTACCGTTAGCACTTAAGTTCCACTTAATAGTTCCTAACGGTCCTTCATCCTGTAACCAACATCCAATCCTATAAAGTATAACAAGGAACAACACCCAACTTCATCAAGAAACTTTACCGACATCCTTGCAGTTCAGGCATAAGATTTAATTTCGCTTGGCAACCTCAAACTGTTAAGTCAGCCTGACTTGCGGGTCGAGTTCAAAGAAAGATTTCCAGTTTACAAAGTGCTAAGGAATAGGAGGTACGATTATGGGCCATCGGACACGTGTACTATAATAATCTGTTGAATTTATTTAAATTACACTGTTATCTATAATTTTAACATAAATACGTTATTTATTAAGATCTAAATTTAAATATATAATACTAGCTGATCCGCGCAACTTCGTCTGCGTCTCTCAATAGTAATAAATTTTCTCCGTTTTTGAAACATTCTTCATTGGTGCTCCACTCCTATTGGTCTTAGCGTGATGATATATAGCCTATAGCCTTCCTCGATAAATGGGCTATCTAACACTGAAAGAATTTTTTAAATCGGACTAGTAGTTCCTGAGATTAGCGCGTTCAAACAAACAAACAAACAAACTCTTCAGCTTTATAATATTAGTATAGATATGACGGATCTTTTTTACAAGTAAACCATTCATTTTTTCTTATTTTTTTATTACTTGCCACATCTCATACACGGCTGTGTAACCCCAACCTCTGCAGAGCCTTTACTGTGGCAACCAGACTGCGGTTTTTTTTTTACATATATTTAAATACGAACCTAGCTGGGTAACTCAGATACAGAGCGAATGATCGAGCTCATCACACAGTTATCTGTCTTGTGTGGGAATCGAATCACCAGCCACGCCAATTGACATCGTTTTGTCATTAAAAAAATACTAGTAAATAAAATAGGCCACATTTCGTCATTTATTTTTTATCAAAGTTACACTATTTGGAATTACTCTTAGCGATAGGGCTAGATATACATACCGAGACTACGTATTCCATGTGAGCAAATTTCTATTGGTAATTAATAAATTTTATTCTAATAAAAAAACACCAAGAGGCAATTATTATTTTCGTTTGTAGCATGAACCTTAAACCAGTGTTTCGGACTGCCCCCTATAATTAATAACAATATAATGTTTTTCTTTTTGTATAAAGTGTATGTTTAAAAATATAATTAATATGTATATAAAATAAATAAAGAGCATAATAATAATATTTCGGACATCTGACACACAACGCCAACTAGTTTCAAAATAAGCAGAGCTTGTACTATGAAAGTAAGATAGACTGATTGAATACTAAAATACTTTTTTTAATACATATATATCATACATAGAAAACAACCAAATCCGAAACAAATATTTGTAGGTAGGTAATCATTTGGTCCGACTCGAGAATTGAACCCTCAGCCTCTGAGACCTCAGCACAGCAGTAGCATACACTACCACCACCTTCTACGTAAGAAGGTAGCCATTCTAGTCCTCCATGTATGTCATCGGTAGTAAAAAACCGAAGAATTTATAAATATTTAAATCAAGCCTTGTGTTGAATTAAGTCTTTTTGCCGCTTTCTTGTTTATTTAATACGATTTATTTAAAAAATCTAAGTTGAAATTTTACAGGACATTCCAAACGATTTTGGTTTCAATTCAATTTCTCCAAATATAATAACCGTAAAACATAATAATCGATCTAATTCACGTCGCCCCATAAAAATAAATAACGATAAAATGTAATCACTAATGGAACATCAAAATTTCTATCATTAAAAGAAGATAAAAGCTTAGAACAATGGCACCACAGACCGCTTTTTTTGTTTTATTTTCATCGACCTGCATAGCAATGACCTTGATACTGCATCATTATATTACAATCAATCATCAGCGCAAGGAAACTTGATTGATGGCAATATTGTTTCAAAAGTAATCTGAAAAATGACGCTCCATCTCTACAAACAAAATCCGACTTTAAAACTATTACATTAAGACTTATTTCACTATATAAACAACTACATACACGCATTAGTCTTTTTACTTATACTATTTAACTTGAACTATTATTCTTTTCATCAAAATGCAAAACAATAAAAACACAAGCACTTGACGTCTAGGGGGTTCATCAAAATTTGAACGCCAATTCGCTAGAATTAAGATGGCATCGCTTTCCAAAGGAAAGGTGTCGAGAGATCGTTGCAATGATCATTCGTTCGGTACGATGCGAAGCAATTATGATCTTTTTGCCCTAGACCCGTTATCTTGGCTTAGATGAGCAGCAAAAACGCAACTAGCGCAGTGTAAAGTCTTTCGCCGCCGTGGGCGCACGCCACCGCCTCTAGAGCAAACAGACAATGTCACCCCGCGCATTGCTAGCTTTTGTCGCTATAGCCTGTATCGGACAGGCAGCGTCTCGGCCCGTCAAGAAAACTCTCAACTTCAACATGTTCGTGCTCCGACCCAAAAAAGGAGCATCTGATCGCATTTTCGTCACAACCGATGGCGTATCGAGATTTGGGCCAATATTGGAGATGTTTGTTCAATATTTTCAAGGGCTGCTGTCAGTGAAACTTCCTCAAGATAATAGTTTATCTGTTCCTAAGAAAGCGGGTGTGCCGGTTGGAAACACTGCTGAGAATGAAGTGGATAGTTTGCAAGAGTTAAGGATGCCTGGGATCGTTGTGAGGCCTTCGCGTACTAAACCGGGAACGTATGAAGTGGAAATAGACATGGTTGTGGATGATGGCCAGCCAGATGAGAAGACGCAATAGGAGTTACACGATTCGTTTAAATTAACATTGATTGAATAAAACGTAGATCCAAACAATTAAAATTAAAAAGTGATTTAATATTTAATAATTTGGGTTAGGATGCTACTTTGTGATTTTTTTTATATTAAAATGATTACTGAACGATCTAAATTGGATATAAAATCGGATGTATTTATTTAATAAAAAACATCTTTAAAAATAACGTTTTTAAAAATACCGTTTGTGGTAGGCTAGATAATGTGAATAATAATTTTACGATTGGAAAGCATTATTACTCTTGTGAATTTCATTCGATTTTATTATAGAGAAATATTGTTTTCGCATTTATTATTAATTTTAAGTCGAAGTCGTTTTATTAATAATTTTATTTATTCTTGCCATATCATTAAGTGTGAAATAAATTGTACTTCTTTTTTTTTTTTTTTTATTTTGTAATGTTAAAAAAAAATGTTAGACCATCATTATTCTAAAAACTCCTAATGCCGTCAGCTGCGTTAACCGCTGACTCTTTAGTGAACTATTTTACAGTGCAAATTTCGCCCCACAGTTAATACATCCTTAGAGAGTGAGAAGAAGCCGTTTTTTCTGATATAATTATCGTAAATTATTGGTAGAAAATTGTACCATTTTTATACGAATAAATTGGCAAACAATTACACGTTCCGCTAGATAGATAAAAATTATTAAATTTGTTGCAATTGTTCAAAACCTCTAATCGAACTTTCGACAAAAGTATTTTTACTGAAATTAAATGTAAAAGTATTTAATCAGCATCATCATCAACAGCCTTTATCCACTGTCCGAACATCATAGAACTCTCCTTAGACATAAAGTTTTGGCCTGCTATACCACGCTGGTCAGACGGGTTGGTATAGGCTTTGTTTCAGGTTTTCCTTGAATTTGCAGGGCTGTTGTCCTTCATATTTTTACACAATAGCTTAAAATATATTACCCTATGATAAATATTTTTATATACATTCATACTAGCATCTTATACAATAAATAGAGCTAAAAAGAATTGATATGTATAATTATGTCAGCATTAAACACTGTCAGTGATTTTGGCAAAATTGTTGCCAAAATCACTCTACAGTAACAGTTACTTCTAACTCTTAATTAAAATGTTTTGATTAGTTATGGGTTATTAGTGTAACGTCCTCAGATAGTATAAAATGAAGTCGCTTTTTTACGTTGTACGCTTTGACCTTTGAAACAAAGCGACGGATTTTAATGGGTTTTTTACCAATAGAGATAGTGATTCAAGAGAAGGTTTATATGTATAATACATGCATATTATAGTAGACAAAATCCGACAATTGCAAAGATTTCTCGTAAAAACATGTTTTTGTGCGCTTACATTGCAAACGCTAGCTAATCCTTACGAGATATACCAAAGTAATGTAGTACGCAATTGTATATCTTAAAAAAATCTACAAAAAGCCGTAATGGTATATGTATATCCCCTAAGGAGCACCCACAATAACCAAATTATATCAACATAAAATTATAACATTTATAAACAACATTTGTAAACATTATATCGTAAACATAACAACCAAAAAATTTTGGTTTGTTTACGAAGCTATTTTAAACAATACATTATAATTTCTTATCCAATTAAATACGTTAGATACGCTGTGCATTTAATGTAGATTAAAATTTCTCTTTACAGCGTATCACTAAAATAAATATTTTAGAAGATATTAGAGGTTTAAAATACGGGGGCAAAGCGGCCCGTTGCCGCGTCGATTCGTATGTGTGTCCCGGGTGGCAGCGGATGGCAGAATCGAAGCGGGCCTACGTATAAATATTGCATTACAATATAAAGATGTCATGTAGTGTAGTCCTATCATAATATGAGTAAAATTAATTAATCTACACTAACACCAAGTTAGTAGTATTAGTAGCATCTACATTGCACATGTTCCAGGCCGAGGGGATCACTGGTGGTCGGGTGCATTGAGGCGCTGGGCTTACGGGTAGCCCTTGATAAGTCTGAGGCTCTCTTGAGGTGAAATATCTGAGGGCGAAGAGGGCCCGGGCGATGATCTCTACTTGGACCCGATTTTCCGTCGACGAACTGGGCGACGTAGGTGCGCTTAACAGCGCCTCATGCCGCCCTGAGTGTGGCGGCGGGTGGACGGGACCATTTTTCCGGGGGGACGAGGAGGCGACGACCGCGTGTGCCTATTAGGTGTATAAAAATGAAGGTCCTTTTTTTTTTAACGTGTGGAAACCCCCTCGGGCCCACCGAACCGAACCACACAAACCCACCGGGGTTTACGGCGGGGTGGTGTGTCGGAATCGGACCGACTAAAACCACACGTTGTGCCACTCTGCGCCTGTAATAGGAGGGATCCGGGAACTGCTGTTATTAGGACCTCCGGACCCCTCCTAGCGCCTGCCCGCAACGATGCGGGCACCACCTTCAGGTACATTCTCTATTTACCCGACGTCCGGCACACGCGGACGTCGCCTCCTCGCGGCTGGCCATTATGGCAGGTGGAGGGGAAAACCCGTCCCGTCCACCCGCGGCCACACTCAGGGCGGCATGAGGCGGTGATAAGCGCGCCTCCGCCGCCCGGTTCGCCGGCGATAAAAATGAAGGTCCTGAGTCAACACGATAAAAAGATATGGCCAAATTTAGATTTTCGCGAAAACTTGTAAGTACCAAAATTTACCTTAATTTTCAACTTTTTTTTTCAGAATTTTCTCTTTACTTGTGCTGTAAGACCTTAACTTTAACCAAAATTGACAATTCTAGGTCAACCGGAAGTACCCTATAGGTTTTAGGTCGAAAACCTATATGGTAGTTCCCGTTGACCAAAAATTTGGCAAAGAGAAACGTCTTACAGCACAAATAAAGGAATAATTCCAAAAAATTAAAAATTTTGAAAATTATTAGATAAATTTTGGTACTTACAAATTACGAAAATACGAAAATCTACGTAAAATCTGGGTAGGTACGAAACCTTCGGCGCACGAGTTCGACTCGACAACCAGACTCAGAACAACAATTTGTGGATCATACAAAGTGTCGTCCCATGTGGGATTCGGACCCACAACACTCAGCGCCGTAGTGAGCGGCATGGCGCTTAACCGCTACGCAGTTTTGAACGAGTGCATACTATTGGCAATTTCATAAAGCCAATATGTTTTTAGTGGTTCGGGACCTCTAGATCCGCAGTCCGCGAAGGATAAGAAATAATAATAATAATATTATTTTCACACAAGGCTGTCTGATCCCAAACTAGGCAGAACCTGTACTATGGTAACCAGACTGCTGATAAACATACCTATTTATTTCTAAATACATACATATTATAGATAAAGTACACCCAGACACAGAACAAATGACCGTGCTCATCACACAATTATTTGTCCTGGGTGGGAATCGAACCCACGACCTCTGGCATAGCAGTCAGGGTCACTAACCACTAAACCAACAGGCCGGTCAAGAAAATATTACTAATTAAGTTTTAAAAAAATCTTAGTCGTTGTATTATTATTTCACATCCATCCATAATTTCCTTTTCATTTGCCAAATCCATTCGCAAAAGTGCAAATGTTAATGCCAATGCAAGTATTAGTTACATCACACACATAATGTGTATATATCTACTTATATTATTATTCCGCTGATGAACTTAGTTTATAAACATACGTCTTAGGTCCCGTAATAATTCATAAGTCCTGATTTACACTTTAATTCCATTACTTCATTAGTCTTACCATTTAATTTGAGAGAAAATAAATCTGCCCCTCGCATTGAGTGAAATAGTATCTCTTTGCGAAGTCATACATTTCAAATGCTTAGTAATGAGATATATCTATTGAATTCTATAGCTTCGTTTAAAGGGCTTAAAACTGTAAATTTCTGTACCCAATGAAATATTACGGGCCTGAATACGTCTACTTAATATTGGTACCTTTTTTTTTTTTTTTTTTTTTTTTTTTTCCGTGCGGAAATCCCCTCGGATACCACCTGTCGGTGGCATGTCGGACTCGAACCGACTAAAACCGCACGCCTTCGCCGGGTACTAATAGCCGGGGAACCAGGTATACCCTAGAAAGGAAGGCCCTGGTGCCCCGACATTTAATATTGGTACCTTTTTTTTTTTTTTTTTTTTTTTTTTTTTTTTTTTTTTTTTTTTTTTTTTTTTTTTTTTTTTTTCCGTGCGGAAATCCCCTCGGATACCACCTGTCGGTGGCATGTCGGACACGAACCGACTAAAACCGCACGCCTTCGCCGGGTACTAATAGCCGGGGAACCAGGTATACCCTAGAAAGGAAGGCCCTGGTGCCCCGACATACCTCGGGTCATCTACAGACGAGTAGACGACCCCCGCCCCGTGTGGGAACCCCATGTTCCCTGTGCTCCCTGAAAGCGAGCGCGCTTCGCAACGCGCTCGCCGCCACCCCGGCCTGCTTCTGCTAGGGTGACAGATGGCCTCACCTGTCACCCCCAGGCCTGCGCTTATGGAGGACGGAGGTCGTTCTGCGACCTCCGGCGCCTGAGTGACCTGCGCTGCCTGGCCCGTGCCCGGGCCTGGCGGGCCGAGAGAGTTCTAAACCTCTCCCGGTCCCGCTCCGCCGTCTCCTTCGCGAGCATAACTTGCTCGCAGAAGGAGACGGCAGAGTTCCACGCACTCTCGCTCCGCACGATAGCCGCAATCAGGCTATCGAGCGAGAGAACTCCCACTCCGATGGCCGCCACGAGGTCTCGCCTCTGCTCAACCCACGCCGGGCACTCTGCCAGCGTGTGGAGAGCCGTGTCCACGGTCTGGCCATCGCAGTGGTGGCACTCAGGCGTTGGCTCCTTGCGGATCAGACACAGGTGATCTCCGAAACATCCCTTCCCAGTGATCACCTGCGTCAATCGGTATGAGAGGGTCCCGTGACGCCTCTCGAGCCAATCCTCCATAACGGGTCTTACCGCCGCAATGACGGCGTGCCCGGCGCTCGGTTGCCCGAGTCGTTCCCTCCACTCCCCTATGATG